AATATAACATTTTCTAAGTCTTAGACACAAACTATTCAAGATTTCTCCAGCATAGACAGAGGCAAAGTACAATGAGATGGTGCTTTTAGAGATAGCAGCTTCAGATCCAGAAAAGGGTAATGAGATGCATTTCATATGGCTAAGTTAGTGGCAGAAACATAATTTTCTTTCTTTCAAGAAGGCAGGAGAACAATTATGTGGTCAACGCAACATAAAGAACATGTGATCCATTCTGTGAGTGGTTGGTAAAGGGGTAGAATCAGGATAAAAATCTGGTTTCACAGTACCATCTTAATTTGGTCACTTCTAAAGAAAAAAATAAAGTTGTCCTGGGGTGGTGACTGTGGCTCAAAGGAGTAGGGCACCAGCCCCATATACTGGAGGTGGCGGGTTCAAACCTGGCCCCGGCCAAAAACTGCACAAAAAATAAATAAATAAAGTTGTCCAAAGACACCTTAAAGCTGAAAACCTGAACAGCATGATTTATTTTTGTGTTTTGTTTAGTTTCGTTTTTTTGCTAACTCTTTCTGGGATCACTTTTCTGGTTTTCCTGGAACTTTGTACAGAGCAGTGAGGTTGCCCATAGAGGAGTCTCTTCCTGGGCTCTGTTGGGTTCTCAGTGAGGCAGGCCCAGACCTTTTTCCCTCTTCTAGAAGAGGGCAATGTGCACTAAGCTGAAAAGTCACCTTCCAAAACTGAGAAAGGGATTAGACTGCTGCTTCAGAGCTGGGGAAGTACTTGGAATGTTTCGCGAATGGTTGCTATAACAAAAAAGGTAGCTGCAAAACGCGAACATCACAACATGCCTTCAAAGACATTTTGCACTGTGCTCACGTTCCCTTAAATGTTGTTCCCAAAGATGCTCAATCTCTAAGCCAGCTGGAATCTCTGGGAAGAGGCAGAGACAGTTTGGCAAAGAAGACATGGCCGTGGGGTGGGTAGGGGATGGAGGAGGCGGCAAAAGGAGACAGCAGCCTTCCCGTTAAAGATCGGCCCTCAGTGTACAGGTCAGCTTCCGGCAGGCTGGCCTCAGGCGGAGCCAGGGTCAGAGGGAGAAGCGGCAGCAGCGTGGGACTGGGGCGCTGTACGTCTCATTCAGGTCAAGCAGTCTGGTCCAGCCTTCCTTGTGGACAGAGGTGCGCCTCTTTGGTACATTTCAGTTTATCTCCTGAATCATCAATTGCCTTTTCTAGCTTGGCTACTGACCTCTCAGCAAACTCAGCACGGGTCTTTGGCTGGGGGGCCTCCTTGAGTTTATCAGTAAGAATCTTTATCTCTTCCTCATATTTCTCTTCTTGTTGAGAATGCTTTTCTCTAGTAGCCCACAGATACTTCAGGTTCTGGTCGATCAGTCTGATCTGCTCATCTATCTCTCCACAACCGGACTCCACCACCAGCTTAGCTCATTCCTCTGTGCGTTCCAAGTGTCCTTTAAAAATCACCAACTTGCAAGCCACCTCTTCATACTTCCTGGCGGCCTCTCCTACAACATGCTGAGCTTCTTGGACCTGGATTCCATCTTTTCTTCATCTGTGAAGGCCCTTGATACCTCTCTCACTCTTAGCAGCGACTTTTTTCCGCTTCCTCCAGCTTTTGCAAGGCAGTGGCCAGGCCCTCCTGGGTGCCATCCAGCTCCTCTTCAGCCAGCTGGATCCTGCAGTTCAAGGAGGCCACTTCACCTCCGTCTCCTCCTGGGCGCTTTGCTCCTTCCACTTCCCACTAGAGTCGCTCAGCTCCCTCCTCTGCTTCATCAGCGGGCTACTGCAGAGTCTGGAGCTTGCCTTCACTGCCTGGATGGTGATGAGCAGGCCACGGTGCCTACCCTGCTAACCGCTCAGGCTCCACTTCCTGCCTCCTCTGCTTGGCTTGCAGATGCACCTCCAATTTTCCGTATTTTAGGAAAGTAACATGTGGTGCCTATACCGTAACTCAACTGCCCTCCCCAGCACCTCTTGGTAGAGCACGTTTCATTCTCGGAGAAACATATGAGTTTCCACACTCAGTATGATAAAGTTTATTAGTCAGTTCAGATCAAGTTTTGCATCAAGTTTTGCCACGAGGTTGCTACAAATCTGGAAAACATTTTACATTAGGGGATTGTGAACGAGGGATTGTGGAGTATGTATGAATTGCAATTTCTGCTGCTGGGTAGAACCAGTCTTCCCGCTGGTGTCTAGAAGGCATGGTGTTGGGCTGGGGCTTGGAGCCTGTGGGCAGACCAGGGTTAATGAACCAGCTTTTGAGTCCTAGAGACAATTCATTGCTCCTTCTTTCAAGGACATACACTCACCGCCAAGATGGCAGAGGTGGAAGGGGATAACTCTGGCATGCTGAAGGAAGGGAGACCTTTCCTCAGACTGAAATATGGGTGTTTGGATTCATTCCACCTCTCTCTCTCTCCCCCTACTCTTCTCTCAACTAGAAAAATAAAACTGTCCAAGACATCCAACACACACGGGAAAAAACTACCTAGTCTCACAGGAGATATGAGTTTCAAAGCCTTTTCCAAAACTTTTCTTAATGGTCACAACTTACTTTAAAATATTGTATCATTTAGTCCACGCTTTTTCAATTATTTGTTGTGGTTGTGGTTGTTTAAGATGAAGTCTCCTGGAGTTTGCCCATCCTGGAGCACAGTGGCTCTGTCCTAGCTCACGGTAACCTCCAACTCTTGAGCTCAGGCAATCCTCCTGCCTCATTCTACACTGTAGCTAGGACTACAGGCATGTGCCACCACACCCAGCTCATTTTTTTATTGTGTGTAGAGATGAGGTCTTGCTATGGTTCCCAGGCTGGAACATTTCTTGACAGAAGATGAAATAGGAGAAAAACATTCATAACTCAAGCAGGCAAGGAATGGAATGTATCTAGAAACCCTTAAACATCAAAACAAGGCTGGATCTTATAGCTGCTCTGGTCTGGCAATCTTGTCATGAGGGAGAGCAGCATTATGGACTGTATGAGTCCCCTTTTGGAACTTTCATCCCCCACTACGTCAGCCATGGGAAACTCCAAGTGTCAGGTGATATGGTGGTGGCATTTGGCTCCAGCCCACCCCTGAATTACTACCGGGAAGTCACTGGATCCCTGGCCACCTTCTCCAAGGGCTAGTCTAACTTCTCAGTAAGAGGGGATGTGTGAAGTCAGTAAATAGAGCTGGCTGACTCTCCCTCCCTACTGGCTGGCCTCGCTGGCCCCATTGAGCTATGCCCAGCCTAAGCAGAAGGTGAATTTCTCCTTCCAGACGAGAGCTCATGACCACAACTGCAAGCACATTGTGAGACCCAGGGCCGAGGCTTTTCATGTCATTTTGTTTAATCATCCCGATAAACCCTGGGAGGGAGATGGTGTGAGTCACATTTTTCAGATGAAAGAAATAAAGCTCAAGGAGGTTTAATTACTTCTGTGGGATCCCAAAGCTGGTAAGGAAGGGGGTGATGGAAGCAGGTTCCAGCCACAGACTCTGGAGCCCCTTGGAACTACCACACTCAACTCAGTATCTGGCAAAAGGACTTAACTTCTAAGGGAAGATTCTCCCTTGGGGCACTAAAAGGCAACCTGATGCCTTGTCCTGCCAAGATCCTAGCCTGCCCTGCTCCCCAGTGCAGTGGGCAGGAAGGACTAGCTGTGAGATGCCAGATGTGTCTTCCTGGGCACCGGGTCCTGGAGGCCAGCCACGCTGCCCGAGACAGGAGCTTGCCTTCCATGCTCTGTGCGCTCCCAAGGTCCTCCCCACACGCCTTCACCCCAGGGTCCTATTCTTAGCGTCCCATCAGGAAACAGAACCAAGCCAGGTATTTCACATAGATTCAATACAGGGAACCAGTTTTATAAGTGTGGAAGAGGCTGAAAGAGTGAAAAGGGGGAGCAGAGGCAACCTAACTATGCTGGGTGACTACAGGTTATTTGGTGTCACTGAAGGGAACATTGAGAGAGAGAGAGGGAGAGAGAGAGAGAGAGAGAGAGAACAACTGCTCTTCTCCTTCCCTGCCCTCCCTTCCAACCAGTGCCAACCTGTGACAGCTCCAGCTGCTGAGGGAACCTGGTAAGCGTATTTTGCAAAATTCCCAGCCCTAGAATCACAGAGCAGAATACAGGCTACATAAATAGCGGTGCCCTTGAGCACCTCCCCAGAGAGGCCTAAAACCAAGGCTCCCAGGCGTCCATCATCCAGAGTTCAAAAGATGGGCTCAATGCTACCAGTACGCTCTGCCCTATCTCAGGCTGCATCCATTTATCTTGAAGGTCTCAGAACTACTGAGATGCCTTGATGATTCAAAACACCATTTAGTAAGTCCTAGAAAGGGTTGTGTCACTCTAAATCCTGGTTCCACAAGCACCTGGCCCTGCCGTACAACTGCATTATTCTGCTACCCTACAGCAATCTCCCTAAACAGAAAGCAGCATTTGCCGTGGAGAGGCTGAGAGCCATCTGGTAGTGAGGGCTGGGGGGGACATCCACCCTCGTGGAGCGTCTGTAGCTCTCCCGTGATGTGTTTGGTCACTGCAGCAGGGTCCTCGGTTTCCCAGGCTCATGAACGGGAATGGAATCTGCCAGCAAATGGCAACTAAATGCCTCAAGATTCACAGAGTAAGTGGTTAAAAAGAGTGATTTTTTTTTTTTTAAAGCTTTCCATAGCAGAATGTGTAAAATGGCAGGAATTCAATTTGTAATGCTGAGTTCACTGGCTGCTCTCAAAATACAGACTCCTCATTTGTGAGCATCTCAACATCAATTTCCCATGTCCTCTAAAATTTCAGCTCACTCACTCCACTTATCCTCCGGACCAAGTTAAACACTAGAGAGAAAACAGTTCTGTTGGGCAGATAGCAGAGATCGGCCAAGTTTGGCTGGCTCGCCCGGGTGCCAGGCTGACCCTTAGTTTTATTTTCAGCCTGGTCCTCTGTCACAGTTGTACCTGAAATGTCTCTATTTGTTTTCAAAAACATCTTTTCTTTTTTTCTCAGCTCACAGGGTGTTTTATTTTCTTTTTCTCTAGAGCTATTGAAACTTCTGTGCCACTCAAAGACATAGATTCAGACAAATACAGCATTTTCCCAGTAAGTATTATTACGAATAATTAGATGTTCACTAAACATTGCACTGCTTCCTACAGATTTCTTTCCTTTACTAAGACAAGACTGAATTTCATCTGAATGTGTTATTAATTTGATGAACAACACATTATTTCACAATTTTTAAGGACTTGTTGGCATCATGAGAACACTTATGCTATCAAAGGAAATCTTAGGCCCAGGCTCGTTTTGTTTCCACTTCTAGCTGGAATTCTCTGCAGGGACTACAGTTATCGTGAAAGGTGCTGTGAATGATTTTGGAAATTCTTAAACTTACTTTAACTTACTTTTTTAAAGAAAGTGTGTGTGTGTGAGATTTAGAGCAGTTAAAATTTCCAGGTGTTCTCTATGAAAGCCAACAAGCAAGCCACATGTCAAAAAATCCCAGAAGTTTGGGCGATCTCAGATGTTCTACGTGGGAGTAGGGGAAGTAAAAACATTGTTTGACATTATCGTGACCTTTGACTTTTTTCATATCAGTTGGGCCACATGTATACATCCACATAATAAAGAGTTTGGCTAGAGATTGTTACATTATTCAATAAAATGATTAATCATTTGGCCAAATTAACCAATTGTTTGGTAGCCTGAGAAGACCTGAGGTTAATAGAAGAATTTCAGGAAGTTGGGGGATTCTGCGGTTGCTGGAGGTGCATGTAGACACCCACACATTAACAAACATGTACACACAGACACACGTGTATGCACACAGGCTCTGCAATATTCATACACATAAACATGTAACATGTGCCCCATACATACACATAAACATTCACGCACACATACACACATGCCCCTCATACACACCCACGTAGGCATCTCCCCATATCACACACACACACAATAAGATGTGCACACACCCCTGCCACCTGTCACTGGCCCTGCTTTTATACTCCATTTCACCTCACACAGCATGTCTTATCATATTAATCTTCATTTTCCTGGTGTTCTTTATTTTTTGTAGCCTGAGTCTGAATTAAAAACTGCAGATGTCAATAGCACTCAGACAGCTTTGACTAACCTTCTTCCTGGATAACATCAAAACAGGCTGAATACCTCCTGTGTCTGTGCTTCAATTTCAGACACTGCGGGGCTATCACTGGCGAGGGCGAGACTGTAACGACAACAACAAGTTGGTGTACCCGGGCAGAAGGTAACTTTCCTCTGGTCACTGATTTTGAAAATTACCTTCAAGAAAGGAGGCAGGATGGGGCAGCACCTGTGGCTCAAAGGAGTGGGGCGCTGGCCCCATATGCTGGAGGCAGCAGGTTCATACCCAGTCCTGGCCAAAAACTGCCAAAAAAAAAAAAAAAAGAAAGAAAGAAAGAAAGAAAGTAGGCAGGATGCATAATTCCTTCCCCCAGCCTAGGGTATTCCCATTTATGGAAAGATAGGACTTCCATGTCCCAACTGAAGTAAAGCTCAGCAAACAGAGAACAATATTCATTCATTCATTTGTCCATAAATGCACCCACTATTTGCCAAGCACTTTGCATCATGCTGGGTGGTAAACAAAACGCCCTCCTCCCCTGGAGCTTACAGTTGAAGGGGAGAAACAAGAGAGTAAATAGGTCATTGTGGACATTTATCCAGCCTCCTGTATAAACTCTCCATGCAGGATTGAGCCCAGAAATAGTGGCCTTACCCTGCAGGAATAAAGACAGGGCTGCAGCAAATGGAAAGCATGTTATACCCTAGCCCTGACATTCAGTCACCTCGCTGTGACCTGTGACCGCAGTGCCAAAGCAGTAAGTAGCCAGCGATTTGGGCATTGAGAGGCCCAATGGAATGCAGATTTGCTAATTATGTTATCAGCACATTCCACAACGTGGGCCATGAATACAGTCAATCATGAAAAGGAACTTGATCCAGAGTTCCCCCCAAACACCCCAAACCAAGATTAATGCAAAGAGGCTGAACGGAGGTGCCTGGGTATCATGACACACAGTGGGATGTGGCATTCTCCCGGGAAGAGTGCTATTGTCCCTCTGTGGCATTTAGTGTAGCACTCATCCACCTACCCATTCGTTCAGGAAACTGACACTTGCTGGGGGACATGTCTATACCAAAGACCAATGTCAATGTTTTTCTTCTTAGGCCAGACAACTGGGATGTACATCAGGATACAAACTGTAACGGCATTTGGGTAAGCAACTATATTCAAATTTAACCCAATTCCTTTTGATTCCATCCCCCTCCATCGCCTGTTTGTCCGACCCAGGGGAGACAATGAAGGCCTAAAGCTACTCTTTGTCTGCTGCCGGGAAGACTGTGGAATTCTGATCACACGTGACAGTGCCAGTGATAGACTGAGCTTTGAGGCTTCTCAGTCATGGTCCCTTTAAGCCTGTAGTTCTCAATCTTCCTAATGCCAGGGCCCTTTAATACAGTTCCTGTGGGTTGCGACCCACAGGTTGAGAACCTCTGCTTTAAGCCTTGCTTAAGGTCACCCACATCTAATGCCTTTATTCTGTTTTGAATGGTGTGAAATCAAATGAAGTTAGTGAAGTTTTACAGCAGCCTACACAGCTGTTGGAGCAAACCACACGCTGTTCTTATTTTTTGCAGCCATTTTTTTTTTCTATATCCTAAGTCTAGCCAGGCTGAGCAGAATCCCCCCTGTATTTACCCCACTTCCCACACCTTGAGGCATCCAACACTTGGTGTCCCAGATCCCTATGAATAATGGATTTGCAGTTTCCAGATGGAGAAAAGAGAAGGAAGGAGGAAACCACACACTTATCTGTGAGCAACAACAGCCCAGCAGGCCCAAGTGTGTGGGGTCTTAAGCTTATGTGATTTGAGGGTTCCTCAGGAACAAAAAGGATACCCGACTTACACGTATAAAATCAAGCGTCAGAGTAAATAATGTATTAGAGCAACAAAAGAAAGCTTAAAAAATCTTTTTCTGATTTTTTTTATGTAAAAAGGTCCTAATGGCAGCCTGACTTCCTTCTCTCTACTTAAACACTATAGCTCCCAGTTACATGGCAAGAGCTGGAGGTCTTTAAGGTCTTTAAGGTTCCTCCTCTTAAATGAGGGACCCTGAAGCTTAAGATTTCCTGGCTTCAAGGTAAATTGCCTCTGACTAGTTGCCTCACTTGTCTGCTCAGATGAAGAGGAGTAAGTTTTCATAAATATTTTCCTCTTTCCAGGACACGAAAGGTCCAGGCCTGTGCCAGCAATCATTTGTATTGTATGTACTCTGGTGCCAGGACTTCTGAGATATAGAAAGCATGGCAGATGACAGTGCCCCAGCCCACCCTACCTACCCTAACCCTCCATCACTCTGCCTGGTCATGGGGGGAAAGACATTTCCCCTACTGCTTAAGGTGGCAAGACCCCCAAGCTCTTGTTCTGATAAACCCAAGCTTAGTTTTCCTGGTGGAGAACAAAGAGAGCTAATCCAGCATGTCTTCATTCCATGGTCCCAGCCTCGCCTCTGACATGGTATGCTACCCACATAAGGGGAGGGCCAGGCAAGAGATTGTGTGAGACCAGAGGAAATCCACCGTGAGCTCAGGGGTGACACCACAGCTCATCATCAGAATGGGAGAAGGACACATCACAGAATCACAGCATCACAATCTCAGAGGGAGTTTTAAGACCATGAAGTCCAACATTGCCCAAACTGTATGCATGGGACACTGGTGTCGAGAATGATGTTAGTAGGTTCACTAAGGTTTTAGGTGCATGGGGAGCTCCCAAGACTGGGAGAGTGAGCACACTGTTTCATCACCTCTCTGAACACCAAGCACTTTCATCTTGGAATACTAGGAATATTCCTTCCAAGGAACAGCTGCCCCATTAAAGGGAAGCTTTAGCTTTAGGGATTAGGAAATCATAGCCCTGATTCCATCCTCAGGCCCAACCACACTGCTGGGTTTCTTAATCTCAGCACTAGGGATGTTTGGGTCAGATAATCCTCTGTTGGCAATGCTTTCCTATCAACTGTAGGATATTTGGTGACATCCCTGGCTCCCACGACTCCAGAAGCATTCCCATCCAAGGATGACAACCCAAAATGTCTCTAGACATTGCCATTGTTCCCAGGAACAGGAAGGTATAAAACTGACTCCATTGAGAATTGCTGCTCTAGAAGCATGGATCTTTAGGTGCTGGAGATGTCAGGATGCTTGAATCTCTACCTCACAGACTGCAGAACCACCCTGACCTTGTGTCTCAGCCACTCAGTGATCCCTCAGTGACTCCCGGTCAGGGCTTCTCTCCCCAATCCCTGCCCTGCATCCCTCTGAGTGAGATGGCGAGATGGCCCAGTGTCTGGATCTCTCCTGCCTCCTATGCTCAGCTCCTCAGAGCCCAGCTCACCCTCCGGAGTGCAGCTATGTTGATCAGGGGCTCAAGAGACATTAGAGTGTTTTATCTACTCATTTGCCTTTGTGCTTCGAAAGCCATTTAGGGAAGATTTAGTGTATGTGTCTCGTAAATTTAAAGCAAAATTGCTAATCTCCTCATTTCTCTTTTAAAGGGTGTTGATCCGAAAGATGGAATTCCATATGAGAAGAAATTCTGTGAAGGTATGAACTGTGAAAATCAGTGGCTTACTACCGTGGAATATTCATTTCCAATCAGAGTCAAATCAGAGTGAATACACCACCAAAGCCAGGAAACGGCTGATGCTAGAACTTGCTTTACATGGACCAATTCACATCTATTGTCATGACAGATGAGAAAAAGGCATTTAAAAGATTCAGAAAAGGAAGAAGAATCTAGAAAAAGCAGTACCTAAGGTGTTTCATGGACTACTTGAGGATTGGAAACTTCAGCGATAATGTTAGAAAAGGCTGCAGGACGGATAACAAATGGTAACAGGAATCCAGCACTTTCCCAAATAAGAAAAGAAGTAGAGAAGAAAAATGAAAATTTTAATCATTCCCATTTCTTTCTCATGACACTGCAAGGTCAGACACCTGGACTTGTGCTGATGGGACAAGTCCCTGTGTCCACTGGGCTAAAGATGCATATCTGAATGACTTGAGGGAAAGTGCCAAGCTGTAGCCTATAGGGGCATACCAAAAATAGCTGAGCAAAAGCTCTGTACTCTAACTGCCCAATGCCACAGACACCTGGGCCACCAGGCCCCATTAGGAGAAACTTCACCGCCCATACCTTACTGAAAACAAGTTTCCCATGATGCCTGGAGGGTCTTAAACAACACCCAATGGTAATGTCACTATTGGAAGTTTAGGCAATGCTTTTCTCCCACTTCCAAAAGCATTTCACTCATTCATTCATTCATTCGACAGGTATTTCCTGAACAAATATTCTACTGATGTGCCAAGGGCTATACTTGGCTCTGAGTTTTCATGGGCAAAAAAACATACAGTCCCTGCCTTGGATCACTTTAAAGTCTAATTGTCTTTAAAGTCTCAGAGGGTCAGGAAGGGGGATAGAAAATTTAAAGGCTCGTTGTCTATCTATGCAGTTTAGAAATATGTCTTTGATAAATAAAAGAATGAATGAACAAATCAATGAATGAATGAGGTGAAATCCTGGTGCAAGGCTCTGGGGTCACTTTGGGAAGCCTTTGGGAAGCCTCTGGATTCCTTACAGTTCACTCCTCCTATGCCCTATAGCCTGTCCTGGGCCTTCTCAGTCCCCATTTGTGTGGTCAAGGGGTGGCTTCCACAGAGGCCTAGGCTAGGGAGCCAGTGTGGTAAGGCTGGGCAATCCCCCTGGATGACTGGAGGGATCTGGAGAGAGAGGAAGGAGGCTCCACTGAGAGGTACCAATTGATTCTTCCAGGATCTTAAGGAATTTGAAGTGTATCCATAGGCAAATGATTTGTGTGACTCTGAACCTCCGAACATACAGGGCGGCAAAAAGACCAGTCTATCTCTATATCTCTCCATTCATCAGTCAAGATCATCCATCCAGTGCCTTTGTGTATATGGATTAAGGGCTTTAAAAAATTGTAACATCTTTGAAAAATTAAAATTGCTCCATAAGATCATTAACTCCTGAAGTGAATTGTCATAGAAATTGGTGTGTGTTCAAGAAAGCAATTTTCAGAACCAAAATTTAGGGCATAACTCTGAGTTCAGATGAAGCCTTGACTCATTTATTCATCCATCATCCACTCAAGATGTTATACAGCAGTTTGTTTTATGCTGAGCTGGGAAACACACCTGCATCTGTACATCTTAGCTAGCAGTTCCAGTGGCCTAGAAATCTCATTCTGCTCCTGAGTGCTGTGCCCCTCACTCTCCAACATACAAAGAATGGCAATGCATCACTATTACGATGCTCTGTGCATGGAATACACACTAGGGTGTCTGCTCTCACTCAATCTGGAGGCTCCAAACTACTTGAGTGCATAAATAATGTAAATAAATTGTGCTGCCTAGGTTCACAGCCCAGAGGAATCATTTTGCTGGGAGACTCAGCAGGGGCTCATTTTCACATTTCTCCAGAATGGATCACCGCTTCACAGATGTCTTCGGTAAGTAATTTTGGCAGTAATCATTCCAGATGCGCTGGCCTTTGTTTTTGTTTCCCCTTGCTTTCTCTAAATGCAATGCCAGCTCCAAACAGGTGCAAATTTCCCTCCTCAGCAAAATCTGCCTTGAAAGATGTATCCACAGTCATTTCAGTCCTGGGCAGATGGAGGCAAAAGGTTGCTTCTATTCCCACCCTCAGCCTGGCTGTTGCCGTGGACGTAGCCCAGGGCCAGCTCTCCGCAGAAGCCTCTTTTGTTTGTTTCTTACCTGAGCAAGTTAGAAGGACTTTGCAGAGCAGACTGTTCTGCCCCTGTTGGCCACGTGTGCTCCACATCAGGAGGGGCATCAGGGGACAGACAAGCCTGCCATCCATTCCTTAAAGGTGGTGGGACTGGGCTGATGGCTTTTAAATAGAAAAATGAAGAGGGCCACAAAGCAGAATTGCAAGCAATGACAGACGCAGAGAAGGCCAGGAAAGGGGAAGGCAATCAACAGTTACCGACTTGGCGTCAGGTGTCGGACACCGTAGGAGAGACCTGCCTGTGTTACTCAGATGAACAACTCATAAATAGGGGGTAGATTTATGTCCACTCTGTGTGTTCCCAGTTCATCACCTGAGCACACACCTGCCACATTATCAGGAGGCTATTTTCTTCCTCTTAAATCGTGCAAACACCTGAGAAGTCGTGGGGTAAAGGGTGGGAGGTGAAGGGTGCAGGGAAGGGCAGTCTGAATGCCACACACCCATGCAGATGGTGCAGGGGCATCAGCCGGGTCATCCGTGGTAGGGTCTTTCTGTGGCCACAAGTTGTCACAAGGGAATGTACCAAAACTTGTGCCCGGAGACAGCTACCTAATTGGCAGGGCTCAGTGCAAAATAAAAGTACAAGTGCCCTTTTTTTTCAAAAAGCAGGAAAAGGCTCCCTTAAAGGTACTAAAAAAATTCCTTTTTGCAAAATCTCCTCTCAACTTGTCTTGGTGTTTTCTTATTTGCTATTTAAGGTCATTCCAAAAGAAATAACTAAAACATTAAATTATTAGCATGATTCTTATGTTGATTTTTATATTATGCAATGCTAGTTTTTCATACAACTATAAGAGCATTAAACTCATACGCAGGCAAAACCACTAAATTCACGTTATTCTTTTTCAGTAGCTCATCCTTAGCAGATTCTTTGAACTGCCCAGAAGAGAGGAAGACAAGACAGACTCAGGAGGGTGGAAGGAGGAACAGAGGGTTCCCTAGGGTATAGTTCTACCAGACTGAATGCTTCTTCAGGCAAGGGGATGCTCAGGGCAGGTATAAACCCTTGCAGCACTAGGCTTCCCCCAAGACACTCAGCCTGGGACCTGAGAAGTCTTCTCCTGCTAATGCTCTGGGGGTCCCCAGTCTGGTCAGGCATCTCCCCTTCCCATGGCCCACCTCCCCAGCTCACAGCAGTCAGGTGAACCCCAAGAGTCTTTCAACCACTGTGCACATTGTCCACATGTAACAAAGTGTCACAGGTACCTCATAAATATGTAAAAATATTTTCATCAATTAAAATATTTAATTAAAAATAAAAAGAATCATTTGCTCAAAAATGTATGTACACAAATACTCATCAAAGAGTTATCATAAGAGTAAAAATGAAGGTATAAAAATCTAAAAATTAGGATATAAAAATATTACATTCATACAATAATTTTATACAACCATTAATACACATATTAAAAGACATTATTTATTGACAAGAAAATATATTAATTATCATTTATTAAGGAATAAAAGCAAGTTATGAAATAGTATTATGAACATGATATATGTGTCTGTGTGTACAAATAAAAGAATAATTGGAAGGTTGTAGATCAGTATGTTTACACCGGCTATCTTTGGATGGTGGAATTATGGATAAGTTTTTCTTCTATTGTTATTTCATTGAATTTGTATTATGTGTGTACTAAATATTGCAATTCAAGATTTTAGAGATTTGTTTGTTCTGTTCTCTTGTTTTGATTTAAGCAAATAGCTAAGAAAACCAGCTACAGAAAATCATTTCTTTCTTTAACCTTTGTAAAAGCCTTCTGAAGTAGGTGTTTCTGCAATACAGCCTCAATTTACAGATTCTAGAGAGGTCAGTAGACTGCCCATGGTCACACAACTAACGGGTGGCAGAATCACTGCCTGTCAGCATAATCTTGAACACCCATTTCAACCAGAAACTCTGTGAATGATGATAGTAACACTCTCAGGCAAGGTCACATGCTTCAGTGAGCAAGGGCTGTGCCAATGTTCTGGACCCATAGATTGAACTCCATCCAGATGAGCTGTTCGCGCAGTGCAGTGGTGCAGTTAGTGAGGCTGGCTGAAGACCTTGCCCTTGTCCTTCCTGCTCCTGCTCCTGTTTCTAGCCTCTGGAAGCTGGAAGCTGAGGAAAGGCTGCCTCCCTTCATGACCTGGGGCCCATCCACGTTAGGTCTCTCCTGCAGAGTTCAGCCTCTCTCATGCATTCTCAGGGGACAGGAGTGGCTTCCTCTGTGGGGTTCTAAGTTTTTAGGGAAGACGGGCCGCTGCGCCGAGTAGACATTTTAAGGAAAATCACTTCAGCAAGCTCAGTGACCCCACCTAGAGACCTAACATTCGGGCTGTAACATTTTTCATCTGCTATTTGCAACAAAGAACTGATTGAAATGTTATTGATTAGCATTTGTTGCTTGGGTTTGGGTTACATTCCCCTCCTACTTTTTGCCATAAATAGTTTTGAGAAATGCTTATGAAAGTAGGCGGCTAAGGAGCCCAGATCAGGCATAACTATAATTGGAATGCAAGTATCTTATCAACACAGTGAAAGAATTATGGATAGTAGGGGCAACATGATTGTTTCAGGGTCAATTTGCCATCTGTTTTAAGCCTCTGATGTTTTAGGGTTCTTAAAATCTCTCTAAGTTAACATTCCTCTCCAAGCTAAGAATGAGCCTAGTCACTCCCAGCCTGGGCCACTCTGTGGTACATCATCTGATAAAAATGGAAGATGGGACAGGAAGAATAAGAGACATATTTTCGCTTAGAATATTGATACTGAAAATGAAGAGTGATCACAAATTTATTGTCAAAATAATAACTACTAACCCTCAAATCTCGCATGACTTAATAAAACCGTCATTTCTTCTCAGTCCTCCATCTGTGGGTTGTCTGGGGTCAAATGTTCTAGGCTGGGCTCTGTTGGTCTTGGCTCCAAGCTCCAAGTTGGGCCCAGGTCTGTGTCATTGTCTCCCACTTTTCTTGGATGGACCACCTCTCCAGAGCATGTTCTTTCTGCTCAGGGGGATGACAAAATGCAAGAGGTTAAGGCCCCTATGTAAGAGCCACCATCAACCCAGCAACCAAAGCAAGTCACTTGATCACAATCAAGACCAATAAGGAAGCAAGTAGACCTGTCCAAAGTGGGAGGAGGAAGACGGTATTTGCTTTATTGTTTTTTCCTAATTATAGATGTTAAATATGCAAAGGACAAAAATAAAAAAATACAGAAATTATTAAAATTCTTTCTTAATACTACCACCCAGAGAGAAGAATTACTTTAACATTCTGGAATACCAAATTTGTTTTGAAATAGTCTTTTAATATTATTTTTATTTAAAAAAAGATATAAAGTCAATAACAGAGCCAATTTTAGAAAGTTAAAAAAAAATTCCCACCATCTAAAATTGTTCTCATTATTTTTCCACTCTTTCCACCACTCCCCTACCGTGCATATATGTGTTATCTATATTGCATATACATGCACATTATGTGGTCACAAGGATAGCAAGTTTGCAATTGGCAATACTTTTTTTCAATTAGTATTAATCATAACTGTCTCCACATTGCTACATAGTCTTTTATTTATTTACTTATTTTTAATTGAGACAGAGTCTCATTTTATCTCTCTTGGTAGAGTGCCATGACATCGCAGTTCACAGCAATCTCAACTCTTAGACTCAAGCAATTCTCTTGCCTCAGCCTCCCTAGTAGCTAGGACTACAGGCACCTGCCACAACGCCCAGCTATTTTTGTTTTAGCAGGCCCACATTGGATTCGAACCCACCAGTCCTGGTGCATGTGGTTGGTACCCTAAACACTGAGTGATGAGCATCCCCTGCTACTTAGTCTTTATACTGACTATATTTATTAATGCTCTGTGGAGTCCTTTTCAGTGGACATGGATAATCTCCTAAACCATTCACCTATTACTGGATATTATACTGATTCACCATTCATTTTTTTTTTTTTTTTTGGCTGCTATGGATCATGCTTCTTTAAAAAAAAATTCCAAATTTAATTTTTTAATTTTTTGAAGAGGAGACAGGATCTTATGGTATTAGCCAAGCTGGTCTCGAACTTGGCTTCAAACAATGCTCCCACCTTGGCCTCCCAGAGTACTGGTATTACAGGTGTGAACCACCATGTCCTGCTCTATTTTTAAAAACTCTTATCTATAGAATCTCTTTGTTCAAGATGTCAATCCAGATACTAATATCATGCCTAGTTGATAGGCATGAGGCTTGTTGAGCTCAGATGTCTCAGATTTCCATTGCTGGACTTTTAGTGCTTGTCACAAGTACAAACAAATTATCAGCTCTATCTAGGGTGAAAATGCTAGAGTCACATCTCAGCAGGCCAGGCAGCAGAGCACTATTCGTGTATCAATTAATTCAGCAAACACTAACTGCACGTCCACCATGTGCCAAGTCCCGTGGCAGGGAGGAAAAGAGGATGGGAGTGCCCAGGTCCTCGTTAGGCTTGCAAGGCTATGGGGAAATGCAGACAAGCCAACAGCAGTTCCAGAGCAGTCAGTGCCATGCTGGGCATGTGCCCCCCAGGCTGGAACAATGGTTTCCTAAAGGAAGAGACAGTGTGTGCAAAGAAGGACAAATCAGAAGAAGTCAGGTCCAGCCCACCTAGCAGAGGAAAGAGCATGTGCAAGGGCTGGGGAGCAAAGAGGGCTTAGCATCCTGAGACGGAGCTCAGTGTAGCCAAACT